TAGGTCTTCTCACCCTCTGCCGCTGTTGGCGGCGGGCTTCCCGATCCCGCGCTCTTTGCTTCTTCTTTCTTCTCTGGTTCTCCGGCCGCGTCTTCGGCCGTGATGTCGGTGTCCTTGTCGGCCACGACTTTCGGCTTCACAGTGTCAAGCTGTTGCCGTTCTTTCCTCTTCTTTGCATGGGCTTCAAGTCTCGCTTGCCCAGCTTCATCCTTTTCCATTGCTTCGGTGATCCTTGCTCTGCACGCCTCTGTGTGCGGCAAGGTCGTCCTCTTGTCTTCCAAGATGCACCTGCATCCTGGGCAGCCTTCTGTGGCTCCATGCTTGTGCACATCCTCTCTCCTGATGTACACTCGCCTCTGCTGTGGTGGTGCCACTCGTTCCTCCTTGGGAGGTGGTACCACAAGACGTTCTTCGAGCATCAACTGCTCACCGGCAGGCCTTGCCGCGGAGTGCTCCCACGGTAAGCCCCGCAAAAGGTCCCAATCGCTTGGGTCCCAGCGGTCGGCTGAACTCAGCCGCCGGATTCCTGTGCCTCTGCGCACGCCATCGGCCGTCATCACCAAAATGGATCCTGTTCGGCCATGGTGACCTACATAGCGTCCTTCTTTCAGGATGCGAACTCCCTCGCCTACTTCTCTAAAGTATAGGCGTTCGCCAAAAGCTATGGCGGGCTTCCGCCACTGCTTTCCACATCTTCTGGCCTCAGGCGTTCTGCCATCTTGACCTTTCTTGTACCTGCTCAACAGGTCTCCTGCCTGCCTTGGCAGCCATGCCAATGCAGGGTCATCATCTTTGAGCTCTTTACCGAGCTTCTCTTCCAACGCGCTGCGGAGGACTCGTACTTGACGCTTGACCTCCTTGCAGGCGTTCTCTGCCAGGCCATTCGCTTGATGGTCCCCTACTGGCGATTCTTCCGAAATCCAGTCTATGCCGGTTTCTTTCGCTGCTGCCTCTTTCAAGGCTACCACGGATGGCTCACCATCCGATTTGAGAACCACCTTGCGGTGTCCCAAGTTCTTCAAGAAGTTCGCCGCGAACTTCACTGCATACGGCGTTGCTCCCTTCGAGTCTACGAAGGTCGCCGCTCAGGACTGTGTCCTCTCATCTTTCACCACGAGGATCGGCTTTACTCGCTCGTCCTCCACACCGCCCCGTGACATGAACGTGTAGTCCATTGCCACTGTGGGGCCCGTCCGGCAATGCAATGCCGGCACCAATTCCGATACTGCACATGGCCTGTCGCCTCGTGCTCTTCGATCTCAGCCGGAGTCGGATCCTCCGGTGCTCTTATCTGGATGGGTTTCTCAACCTCATCAACTAATTCCAACTCATCTTCTTCTTCCTGCCTCTCTGGACCAGGTCGGCCTGAATCCATAGAAGCATCTCCTCTTTCTCCTGTAGCATTCAACTCTGCAATGCCACAGCATTCCTTGGTCGGTTTATACCCTGGCTTTCTCAAGTAGAAATTGTACACTCCCTGCTCTTGATACACAGGGATCCAACTTCGCTGCTCCGCAGCGCTCGCTTTCTCCAGGATCGCCTGAACAGCCTTTCCAACTTTGGACCCTTGCGGAATCAAGTTTCCGCCATTCACATCAAGAACTGCAATCCTTCCAAAGCCTAAGCACTTGGATGCTGAAATCAATGGCTTGTGAACATCGGCCATTGAGCCTTTCACGCGGCATTTGTTGCCGCTCTCGTCGAACCCCTCAAAGGTTCCAATGCCCTGACTGGGCACCAACTCTCCTGATGCAGTCTTGAAAACAACCCCGTTGCCTTCACTGACAACCACTCGGTCCTCCCAGCCATTCGGGATGGCTGTCAGGGCTGCTCCAGTGTCCAGGTTAAACTTCATCCATTCTTCGGCGGATGAAGTATCCGCTATTCTAATTCCACTCAAGTCTGCCATGAGCATTCCGACATCTGCTTCCGGAGCTGGCTCAATGCCATCATCCGGATCGTCCATCTCTTCCATACTTCCTGCGGCTTTACCTTTGCCGCCTTTTCCACCTTTGCCTTTACTGCCTTTGCCACCTTTGCCACTCCTGTCTCCTTTGCCTGAACCTGACCATTTATCGCCTTTCCCATCCGGCCGTTTCTTGCTCCAGCAATCGGCCGCTCTGTGTCCCTTCTTACCGCAATTGTAGCAGGTGATATCTTGAGCCGTACTTGAGCCTTTACTTGAATCTCCTTTGCTTGAGCCTTTCTTTCCATCACCTTTGACCTGTTTACCTTTTCCTTTACCCTTTCCTTTGACCAGGCTTGCAATCCATTGTCCGATCGAATCGACATCCATTGGTTGTGTTCCTTGGTAGTTGGAGCTTGATGAACCTGGTTTTGGAACAGATGACTTAGATGTGAGAGATGTTTCGATAACAAGCTCGATTTCCATCGATTTCCTGTTTGATGAGTGCGTAGGTTGTTAGTCTACTTTTGTTCAACAGGAGGTGTTTTTCCAGATCGGGTGGAACAAGCATCTCTAATGAGGCGGACTTGATGTCGTCCGATAGAGTCTCCCTTGTCCCTGCGGCACTCCTCCGGGACTCGTACCGCCTGATGAGTTCTTCGAGCTGTTCGATCGCTGGCCTCACCGCGGACCACGTTTTGACTCGTTCAGGTTGGAGAATTGCTCGAAGTATATTGCGTTTCCGTCCCGAGGTTCGGGGATCCCAACGACGGTGAACCCGTCGATATGCTTCAAATCCATTTGAAGCTCCTACCATCAAATCCTCTGTTTCACCTGAGGTCAGGGTCAGGAGGACGTGGTTATGAACAGGTTGTCAATACTCCTGGCCCACTTTCGGAAATCCCCTTCAACGTTCCCAAAACTCTCAGGACGTCCCAGACCTTTGGTGTCCATAAGTATTTGGGACTTTCGTCTATCTTCCTTTTTCTCAAGGCTCTTAGCCAGTTCTCCTACTGCTGAAGCCAACATTGATACTCCACCTTGAGACTCCCTCAACACCTGGTTTTCCTGTTCCAAACGTGCCTGGTTTTGCTGAAGCTGCAAAACCATATCAGACAACTGTTGAATCTGCTGTTCCAATGCCATGGTTCCCTAATCTCAACCCCCTGAAGGCGCTGCTCTCGCACCTTTTCAACTGCGGACGGTTCGTCCGATCTCCGGCCCCTCTTCTTTTGTTTCTGCGGTCCTTTCAACCGCTGAAGTTGTTTCTGCGGTTTTCTCAACCGCTGGAGTGGTGCTTGCGGCTGGATCCGCCGCTGATGTGGCTGGCAAAGGCTCTTTCTTCTCCTCCTCCTCTTTTTCTCTCCTTTCTTCTCCTGCTCCGCTCGGGGCGGCAGGAACTGCCGCTCCCGAGGGTCCCGGCTCCTCTTCTTCGGAGCTTTCTACTTTACTGTGTCTCTCTTCCTTTAGGCGGAGTGCTCGGTCCCTGTCACTCTCACCGGACCCTTTCGCTACCATGAAAACGAGGTTTCGACGTTTCGGAACGCCTTTTCACCTTGAGCCAAAACACGTCATGAGTCACGTGTCTGCAGTACTCTAGCGGAGTATTTATGGGCTGTACATGCAAACATTATATAAACATAATATATATATATGTATAATATAATGGCTCCTCGGGCGTTTTGCCCTACCACAGTTTGCACGTTTCCAGCACTCTTCAAAATGCACTTGAAGTTTCAAAATGGATCGGGAGACTCATCTTGGAGCATGGAAACACACGCACCGGTCTCCCTCCAACAGACATGATTTTTCTCGGGGGAAACGGGGAAACAAGAGTCGTATCAAAGTGCCTCTTGAAGACCCTGAATCCTTGAGAAGAGCTGCTCTCCTCCCCACATTTGCCGAGATGGGCAAGTTGAGCAACAAACTTTGGCAACGCCGTCACGCACTTTGCATGTGCTGGGTGAGTTCTCTCATCAAGAAAACATGAGAAACATCCATTCTATGTGTACTCTCCACCAGATTTCCCAAGTGACAAATCACCAGTTTTTACATCACCAACCCGATCACCCTTCGACTGTTCTACAGCTCGCCGCATCACATCACATGGACAACTTCACTATCAGGCAGTCTTCACTCTGAGAGCTTCCGATGTTTTTGTTGTCTTGGGACGCTGAAGCGTCTCTCTCTACCAAAGGTTGCTGGCAGTCAGCATGAGGAATGAGGGACACCCAAATCTGTTCGTCTTCTTGACACATGACATCGTTTGTCATGCGAACAAATTGTGTCGTAGTGACAATCGCTTCGTTGTTCCAGATGTTCAGCCCTGTGGTTGGGTGCGAACTCCCGGAGCTTGGTTGCGGCTCGACGCGGCTCAGCGAACGGCGAACTGCGAAGGTCTTTTCAACGCCGCACTTTTGGAAGGTCTTTTCTATTTCCTTTTAAAAATATAGCTTAATATGATTCCTTGCATTTTCCCTTTAAACTATGTTTTAAAAGACAAATGAAAGGAATTAATCATGTCTAAAGGGAAAATAGAAAGAACCCATCAAATAGAGCTGGACATGGGAATAAATAAAAAGAACAAAAATGACAGTGATAGTACTCCAGGGATGAAAAGGAAACAATGGATAACCAACGAGTCCTTGCAGCCAAGGACCGCCCAAGGCCCAAACAAGGACCACAAACAAGGGTCCTTGCTGGTCCTTGGGGGTCCTCGGCAAACGCTATTAATGATTGTTGCGCCGCCATGCCACCCCTTTTTTCGGCGACAGGATGTCGTGCGACAGGCGCAACGCCCAGCAAAATCGGCAAAATAACAAAATAAATCGGCAAAATAGCAAAACGTTTCCTTGTGGGCGGCCTTATACTGCTTAAATTTTGTGCTGCTGCATATCGTTCTCGAGCCTTTACCTCCGCTACCACATAAAACTTTTACAGGAGACACTTCTTTACGCGCAACCGTGCGTGGCATGCTAACACATCTCCTTAAGCAATGCTTGTCAGATATGAAACTTGCAACCTGTGTGTCATGCTGAAATACATAACATGACCAGCTCAGGTTTTTTGCTCAACTCATATGAAACAACCACATCTATTGGTGCAAAAGCCGCACATGACTCTGTTGTGCGACTTGAGCCAACCATGGAGCCTTAGGTTCCAATTGGAATTGCCAAAGCACACTAAAGCACCTGAAGAGGTGTGGGTGGAATTTGATCCATCGCCACATGATCCCACATGTCCCACGGACCGAGCCTTGCTCTTCACGGCAGGGCTCTCACTTCCCTCAGCCTGGCGGTACGGGCAGCAGTGATGATTGGGTTGTGGTGGAGATGGAAGAGATGAAGTTGGACTTCGAATCTGCTCCGTTGATCTTCCTTCATCCTCAGTTTGTGAATTTTTACCCCTTCGCAGTTCCAACTGCAACAAAAACTGTTTTGGGACCTGCAGGTGGTGCAAACTGTTGTCCAAAGTGGCCATCATGGCAAAGAGGATACTTAGGATGAATACACATTTGAGTCCAAGGAGTCCAGAACGAATAGAGGTTCCAATTCAATCTGCTTCAAACACCATTGAACACTTGAACTGCAACACATCCAAGAAGCCAAGGGCAACACTCATTCAGTATCCCGACCAGGAAGACCAAGGGAGTTTGACCCAACCCGCAAAGACCATCCAGAAACTGGAACATGGGACCCACCTACAAGGATTCATAGGGAGAAGCAAACTGATGCGCACCCAGAAAGGTGCTTTGGTTTTGGACGCAAATTTTCACCCGCGACAAGCTCCTCAATCTGAACAAAAAGAACCTCCAACCCGACTTCTTTGGCGGTTTCAAGTCTTTGGCAAGCAAGACGCGCTTCAGAACCGTCAGAAGCTTTTACATACAGTAACTGTTGGCTGTAGGTACTTGTACGGATCGCCTGAGTGATCCACAGTACTCCAACTTTCTGCCACCTTCATGAAGGACACCCTGGACCTGTCCCGCCTTCTGCTTGGCCTCCTTGAAGCGGCGCTTGCGCTGAGTCTCCTGTGAGTCGCAGGCGTGAAACGGGCGAGTGGCAGGCGACGGAGAGGCTCCAGTTGGATCAAAATAGTGATCCAAGGTCACCAAAGACTCCAAGACTGGAATATCTAATTATCAATGCATCAGCATTGATCACCTTACAGAAGACTGAAACAAAAGTCTTGAAATGGTCCTATCAATTTCAATCAATGCTTCACGGAGCTGTTCAGCAAAAACCGGATGGCACCGGCATCGAGCCACAAGTCACCAGATGGATGAAAAACAAGTTGCTCAGCTTTGACCAGTCTTCATGGGGGTCTCGTAAGGCTGGATGATAATTCCAAAGCCCAACAAAGAGCACCATACAAATGATGATACTTGGTAAATGAATGATATGATGCATGATGATAGATGCCACACACAGTAATTATGAATGAGAGACAATGATAGATTAAGCAACACTATGAAGCAATTGAATTTATAAAGCAAAAGGAACCACCACAAAAACGACAATATGAATCAATTGAACATTCAAACCAAAAAGAAACAAGAAGAACAAGCACATGATGAATCAATTCAATAAAAGCAGCAAAAAGAAAACACAAGAAAAACACATTATGAATCAATTGAACATTTAAACCAAAAGAAACAACAACAAGGACAAACACACGATGAGTCAACAGTCAATTGAATAAACAAATCAAAATGAATAAGAACAAGAAAAGACATTATGAATTAATGGAACGTGTAAATCAAAAGACACAAGAACACAAACAAACCCATGATGAACCAATTGAATACATCAAAAAGAAACAAGAACAAGACAACGCCATGATGAATCAATTGAACAATTAAATCAAAAAGAGACAACAAGAACAATAACATGATTAATCAATTGAATAAATAAATCAACCAGAAAACCCACACTAGAAAGAGGCATGATGAATCAGTTGAATAGATAAACAAAAAATCAACACCAAGAAAGCACAAACGAATCAATTGAATAAATAAATCAAAGAGAAACAACAAGAAATAAACTTGATGAATCAATTGAATACATTAAAAAAAACAAGAAAATAAGGCATGCTGAATTAATTGAATAAATAATTCAAAAACAAAAACATGAAAAAACAAAGGCATGATGAATCAATTGAAGACACAACAATAACAAACACAGTATGAAACATTTGAATAAATACAGAACAACACAATAAATACACATGATTAATCAATGGAATAAGTAAAGCAAAAAGACAACAAACAAGAAAAAGGCACTATGAATCAATTGATTGATTTGTGTTAGTTATTTTTTTGCTGAGAATAACGAATTCAAGCCGTAGCCCGGCCCCTCGCTGGTCGGACATCAGAGAGCAGCCGGCCGGCTCCTCCAGCAAGCGACGTGCAGCGGCCTTACGCTCCTGCAGCTCCTGCACCTCCGATGGATTCGGATGGACGGATAGAGCCATGACTTTCTTGGATAGAGCCAATAAACCAATGGATTTTGGATGGATTTGGTACTGGCTTAGCTTTCATTTTTCAGGAAGTTGAGAAATCTCTGCAATGGCCGGGACAGTTTCTTGTGGTGCATGTTTGTTGCCTTGCCAAAAACAAAGAAGCTGAGCGACCTATATGTTTGACTCATACCTTGTATCGGTTGTGGTGTCGGCTGCGAAACAGCCTGGTTGACACTTGGTTGCTCAACGATAAAGAGCATGCTTTTTGGGATCAGGCGATAAAAGGGTCCACATGCCTTCAGGTGGCCTTACTTTGGCTTTGCAAAGCAGAAGTGGCCAAAACGCTTGGGCTTAAGCAAGCCTGCATCCTGTTGGACTTGACAAATTTCTACGATTGTATCAATCATGAGTTGTTGTGTGCTGATGCCTTGGAACTTGGATTTCCCCCACTTATTCTGGCTTTAACGTTACAGGTGCATAAAGGGCCCAGAGTGCTGCAGGCCCAGGAGCTTGCCTCCCGCCCTTTGGTTCCGCAACGCGGAATCATGCAGGGCTGCCCTTTTGGTGTTGTTTTATCCAAAGTTGTCTTGTGGACGTTCATGGCGCACACAAACCGGGTTTGTCGACCACAGGGAATCACTACATGGGTTGATGACATTGGTGTGGACATCCAAGGTTTCACGCCTATTTTGGTTGCGTCAGCAGAGTACATGTAAACTTCCGAAGAAAAGTGGGTCTAGATGCACCAAGGATGCTTTCCTGTTGTCTCTAAGAAATAATCCTGCTGGAGACCATGAGTGGGAATCCTCAGTCAAGGGTTTGTGCTGTTTGCGTTGTGGTACTAAGTTGCCCAAATACAACAGTTTGAGTGATCTGGAGGTTCTGATGCAAATCCGCTGTGATGGGATGAGTGGTGTCCGCGGGGTGCATTATACTCATACCATGTATGGTGGCACGCGGAAGACCTGCAATGTCTGTAAGGGAGTTTGTTATGCAGGGCAACAGATTAGCAAGAAATTGCGGCAACCATGTGGAACTTCCGGAAGGGTCTTGTACAAACGGAGATAGTTTGGGCTGGTAGTTTGCTTGGAAAAAAAGATGGATTTTGTATGTTTTTTGATGTTTTCAGAGGTGTTTGGGGGGGGCCTCCCCAATACGCACCCATGTATAGGGTCTGTCCCAGTCAACCTGTAACAGCCGGCAACACAAGCAAATCACTTTTTTAGAGATGGAACGGCCTGCGACCAGGGCCCATCATTCACTGTTACTGATTGTTTTGTTGAACCAATGGTTTCAAACCCAGTATTTGCGAAAGGGACACGTTTTGCTTTGTGTACTGACCGAGCGTCTGTGCGTGTGTTGATGGAAGACTGATTGGCCGGTTGATGGGGATGCGCAACGGTGTTTGCGAAGGGAACGTGCAAGCTTGGATGTTGCTTCGTTTGAATGTTGAAAAGACTGCAAGCTTTGGGGATCCGAACCACACATATCATGCTTGCGCTCCACGGTTTCGCCGTATATGCTTGTGTTCATGCTGGTGTTCCACGCGACAGGAAAACCAGGAAAACTCCAGAGACCAATGGAAACTGCATCTAAACTGTACTCTGAAGCTACCGCTCTGTACTAGGCACAAATGAAAATCTTTAAACATCTTCATAGACCATGCTCAGAAGGCGCAAGAACATGCCTGAAAGCCGCATGCGGTCGCTTCAGGAAGCACATGGAAGCACTATAGGCAAGCAAGAAGATGTTATCTGCTAAAGGCACACGGGCGTATTTTAATAGGGAGACCCCAACCCAATGCGTGTTGGTCTATTCCCTTCTTCCAGGGGGTCCTTCCCTATTTGAGCTACACTTCCACATACCTCCTTCAGGCCCCTTCTTCCGGTTGGAGGCAATTTTTTCAAAAACTTCCATTTGGCCGTTCCATTCAAGCGGTCTTTGGCCATGGAGAGTTCCTACAGTGCGAAAGCAGAGGTTCGAGGGCACAAATTCCCCCCACATTTGGTGGTTTAGTAGTACGTTATTAGGGGGAGCTTCCTTGAAGAAGCGCTCGCACTAATGATCGCACTAATGATTTGGTTCGTAGAATTTTGAGGGAAACTTATAAGTCAACAGCCTCCACTTGGTCAGTGGATCTTCCTCTTTCCAGGACATCTTGGGATGTCGATCTTCACATCAGAAACCACTCCATCTACCGTCCACTCGTCTGCGCACGGTCCCTGCCTCTTTCTCCATCCTTTCTTCAGCCGCTTTGGCGCGAGTCTTTGCCTGGCAGGTCGTGGTCCCAGGGATATATACTTCTCTCCAAGAAAAAAATAACACCGAAGACCCAGATTGGGACAAATACCTCTCCAAAGCTGTTCTCAGAACAAATTGCTGCTTCATGTCTTCTCCAACTGCAAGAAATTGCTGCAATCAAGCTGGGGCAAGCACATTGGACAGCGTGCACGAAATGAAGCTGCTCCCAAATATATAGATAATTTCACGCTCAGAGTGGCCCCTTCCTTTTCCGTCTATATACTGTTTTGTGACCCCAAACTGTATATAGATCGGACAAGTAGATCAGCTCCAACATGTATTGATTGAGATATGTTGGAAGGTTGAACATTTCGATTCATTTCTGTAGCTTCATGTTCGGTATACTATACGGTATATAATATATATATATATATATTACATATATATCACTGGCATATACACTATCTTAAAAGATTCATTTTCTCAAGGAAGGGCTGTGACTCTGGACCTCTCCGTCGCCTCATTCGCGGCCTGGGTCGCTTCGCTCAACTGCCTCTTCACCTGGTGTTCGATCGCGTGGTGACGGACATGGTCAAATGTGACATGACCAACATTTTGCGTACTAACTGGCAAATGACCAGAAGACACCAACAAAACCGTGAGATAACTTTCTAGATGTCCAAGATGCTTGCTAATTCCTCCTACCCTTAGCAAGGGCGTTTTGCCGCATAAACCACCCAGATGTCGAGAGTCCAGTCGAGAACCATGCTAAGTGTGACCACACCTGGACCGCTGGGGACGAGCAAACCCGGTGCCATATCTCCCGGGACCGGGAGACGGATGCCACCGATGAGGCTCAAGGTGGCATCGAGGGCTAAGGTGAAGCTAAGGAGGGACCGAAGGGTGTGACTGTCCGCAGAGTTGGACTTGGATTTCGATCGGATCTACCAGGATCTAGGCTCGGCACAGAACCGGATCCACCTGTTCCTTAGCACAGTTCCTCGGCATCGCCTTCAACATGGGTCTTTGCACAAAAGATTCCTCTGGATAGCACCAACCTCTATTTAATTACATGTGTTGGGTAGGACTATCCATCCTTCACCACCCCCAACCCAAAGGTCGAGCCGACTTCGGTCGGCTGCGCCACGTCGGACTCCCTGGGACGCCTCCTCCAACTCCAGCTGCATGTCCTGGACTCGACTCCATTCGATCCGATGTCGTCCATTCCGGCGGCGTCCGGAGGAGGTGAGCTTGAGAGGCTTGGACCTACCTTGGGCCTCTGAAGCGATCTTAGTCCAAGACTGGCTGTGGAGGCTCGGCTGCTTTGGGAGAGGACCTGGACCCGAACCTTCGCCCTCTTGGCCCTCTCACAAAAGAAGCAGTTCGAAAGTTGGGTTGGCTGAAACACTATCATGCTCAGAAATACTCAGAGACCTTAATCAATGATTTTGACACATTGATGCCATATCAAATCTCCATGCCATATCAACCCCGAGCCTCAGGTACCTGTAGCTAGCTCCGTGATGCTCTGTGTACCTAGTAGAGATTTCATGATAAATGGACCCCTTGGTGTTCTTTGGGATATATACTTATTATAATATAAATGATCTTTGCATGAACGGATCGATCGATTTCCTCAGATTGACCGAATGCCGGATGCCCAGTCGACGTGGATGCCCAGCATTGAAGAAACACGGTGCAGTTTGAGAAGTTGGATCCACATGAGCGATGATCAAAACTCTTCCACGTGCATGTATGTAATGTAATTAAATTAGTGTAATGCAACATATATTATATAATATTATATAATATATACATACTGCTGAGGTGAGCCCTTTTGAAAGTTGCTCACATTTCTTATTAGAGCATCAACTCATTTTCTTTTGCAGGTACCCCTTGCACAAACTCACAACATACTCTCCGCACGTGCAACGGAAGGCCTCTGACCAGTTGGAGATGCACGAGAGTTGGCGTCCAGGTTCTGCATCTGGCTCCAACTCATCCTCCCCGCCACGTGGATCTCGGTCGTGACGGGACGTCAGCCACGAGGGCGCCCGTGAGTGACCACTACATGTCTCGGATTGACCCGAAAAGCCAATTCGATACGTTGATCGATGCAATTAATCATGATAAATCCCTTGCTTTTACCGTTTTACATCTCCGTTGATGGGGGGAAGACTCCATCGACGGCATCCTGTGCAAGAAGCACTTCCTGGGGACCTCCGACATCGACCTCCCCTGCTTGCCCAGCAGGGGGTCCTTGAACTCCAACAAGCCTGGGCGCCAGCCAGGGCGGTGGAGGGGCGGAGAGGGGCGGAGGGCTGTCGACATCGGGAAGCGAAAAGAAAGACACATCGGAGTAGACAAGGAGTGAGGCTGGGAATCCTGATCTTTTTGGAATGTGTGCGTGGGAAATCATGGGATGCTTCTCCGCCATCTCCTTATGATATATATATATATATATCCTTTATCATGCGACTTGCCCGGAAAAATCAAAAGGTAGAATCATGTAGAATCAATGGATTTGAAAAGGAGGCAACCTGGCAACTGGCAACCCGAAGGTCTGAGTCTGAACCCACAATTACCCTAAAGTATGATCCGTAGCAGAGTATGATACTGGCTGCCAATACTAACTAAATGTGTCTTCACATGATCATCCTGCTCAAAGGGGTAAAACATGGTAAAACTCACTCCAAACCCGAGATTCATGGCCAGGACATTGTCAGTGTGAGCCGTGTGAGCAGCTAAAACTATTCTTAGATGTATCCCGTGTCCTTGCTCGAGTTGATTCTACTTCTTAGCAAGCGCAATTAGACACAACTTGTACCAAAGGGTTGGTAGATGCCAAGCTAGCTCTCAGATCATGTCCAAGTCTCAGGCAACCACTAATGAATCAAAAAACAACACAAAAAACACATGGAACAACTGAAATCGACCAGGGCCCTCCAAGGGGTTCTCCATCAATAGTCTGTCGTTATGGGTTTCTATTCATCACCACTTGTAGTGGAACTTGGAATGTTTCCTATTCATCGCCACTTAATTATTCATCACCACTTAGTGGAGGTTGCCTACCTCACCCCGACCAGTTCTCCCACCGTTCTCCAGTCGCAAAGCCGTCCCTCCCGCAACTGGGTCTCCCGGGCATTTGCGGGGCGAGATCACCGAAGCCTCACAAGCGGTCGATTCGCGATCTGAATCCTTCCAGGATGGGCAATCTTGTACTCCAATATTTGACCAACGTGCTAGATACACACATCTAGATTTATTCTTCAAGCAAAGAAGCATCGCAACGGGGCCTCCGTTCACGCTGGAATCTACATCGGGAACTCCGAAATAGGACTAGAGATATTGGAGATGCATGGGTTTTCGTGGACTCCTTGAACACCTCTTGCGATCACATTCTTTTCTGAGGTTGTACAATACAATGCAATTCGCCCATTATAGACCCAGGAGTCCTCATCTGACCTCTACACTTGCTTTGCGTGATGTTGCATGGGCAACCTGAATTTCATTTTGATTCATTCAGATTCAATTGTCACAGCTAAGTAGGTGTCCTCTACGAGGTGAACTATGGTAAACTACATTACTACATGCAGCTTGGGTCAGTCTCCTTCACGTGCACCAAGAAGTGGATAATTCATCCACTGGAAGCACAAGGCCACTGGAATCAAAGCAGTGAGATGACCATGTCATAGACATTGAGATTCACTTTTCTGGACACCAAAAGGACCGGAAAACCAAGAGGAAGACGCTTCGTTCTCCCACCACCGGACTGGACCAGGGAGCCGCATGGGACTACGGTCAGACCGTTCCATGGGACTGGAAGACAACAACAACACTGTCCATGGGTCAATGTATGCCAATGTAATACCATATGGTCAATGTATGGGCCCATGGGTCAATATATATATATATATATTGAATTATATTGACATACATTGACCATATTGAGCCATCCATGTAACAATTCCAATCCATGGACGGCAGCCGCGAGCCAGGCAGCCGGGCGGCTGGCAGCGGGTGGGGTTCGGTGGCCAGCGTGCGCAGAAAAGCAAGGCGGGGTCACAAAAGGGGTGGTCCAAACAGTTTGGGCTTTGAATTGAATACTATTGGTTTGGTTTGAATCCCCAAACCCAGATCTATGCATCACACTTTAGCTACTGGTAAATGCTAGGAATTCACCGATTCCGATTCACCTAAAACCTCGCCCACTTCGTTCAGGACACACATGGAAATACTCATGTCCAACATCATGTGGACATAATAGGCCAATTCAAAGCTAGCATCATCTTGCTGACTCCTTTTGACTTGTTCATACTTGTTCCATATCAATCTACATGCATGCAACATCGCGTCTTTGTTTGTAAATGTTTCCCACCGGTCTCAACCCAAAACCGCCCAAAACTCGTTGCCTCCTTGTTGATGAACCTGGCGAGAAATGGCAAACATTACCCTTTTCTGGGATAATTGTACAAACTGCCGCAAACCTCCGCAAACGGTGAAAGATGTGAAAGGGGCTTCACAAGTTTTAATTACTCCAAACGCCTTATGAAACCTCAACACCTCCAAACGTGCAGAGCGTTCCAGGCGTTCCAGGCTTTCCCAACAGACCACAGGTGGCCCTCTGGATTTCCACCTTTGAGGGACCTCTTCGCCGCCGCTTCCCCGCCGAGGCTTCGCTACGACCGAAGACAGCCACCGCTCGCGTTCACGTCGCACGCGCCGCGAGGCACGGGAACCGTTCCTTCGAAAAGGGTTCCAGCGGTCGTCGCTGCATGGGGTTGGTGCTGAAAAGAGGGTGCATCAAGACATGACCCATGTTTTGATGGAACAAGACCAGATTTGGGGTGGTTGGGTGAGACAAATAGTTAATTAGAGGTCACCCAGGTTCTATAGGTATATAAAAAAATTGACTATAATATTCATATATTAATTGACATAGATGAAGCCCGCCACCTGTGACCGTCTGGTTCCGTCGGGTTTAAAGACATCCATGTGTCATACGCGGTTTGATTGTGAGAAGATTCGTTTCAGTTCGTGAAGGCTGGTAAGCCGGTAAGCTATAGGTCATCGAACTGGAACTCCGGAAATCTCCGGGCTGTTTTGGCGACTCCTTGGAAAGAACAAAAAACACATCTGTTAAGGAGTACGACGACACTGCTGCAAAAAATAGACTGTGCCTCTAAGATCCCACTTTGGGAAACTTTGGGACCTAAACATTGGAACACAAAGTAGCTTCTTGTTAGTAGTAATGGCCTCGAACCTACTAGCGATGGCCTCCAACCTACTAGCTTCTTCATAAACCCTAGAACACAGAATCCCAAAAAACTCTTTTTTAGGGGTCTTTGGCTTGGTACAACTCCCTCAAAAAACGATGTAGGGTCCACCTTGCAACACGCACACAGGCTAAGGATTGTTTCATCTCTTAGTTGTTTCTAATAGCTTCTTGTTACTACTAGTAAGGCACTTGTTACTACTAGCGTGGCACTTGTTACTACCGTCTGACTCTCCGCCTCGCCATTTGAGGCCTGGGCGAGCGGAGGGGAGGGGTGCAGTGCTCACGGCGAGCGAAGGTCGGCCAGGAGAGGCGAAGTGGAGAGGCGAGCAAGGCAAAGGGAAGCAACAAACTAGTTCCACCGCGCTCTATGGAGGATACAAGCTCAAACGGCAGTCTCTTTTGTTAATAATGAGTTTTGATGCATGCCGGCAGTGCTGGAAGGTGGTGAAGGGGCATGGAGTTGTAGAAACTCACAGATGAAGCCGTGTTTCTCCACACGTGAGGGACCAAATATTTATCCGCACAGAAATGTGCAAACTTTGCTATCATACCATTATAATAAAGACCAAAGGATACCAAAGGCATTTCTTTGATCATGATCGATCTTTTTCAGCGCTTCCAAGTCAAACATGACCGGGTGCCACCCTACCAGCCTCTGGATCAATTCCTGCCCCAGCAACGCCGCAAAACGCCGTCGCTGCCGAGCCGCAACAGAACCAATGCCGTGACGGGTGGACGGTGGGCCGGAAGAGTGAGCCAACGGCTACAGCTGGACGCCTTCTCAACATGTCTCAACCCGCATTCTGCATACATGGCTCAAATCAACCCTAACCCTGGGCATTCTGCAACATGTGTGTGTGTGTGTCAACCCCTGTTTCGAAGAGTCTTTTCTGCCAACGGATCATCGCAGGGGCACACGGCATCCATGACCTACCGTGTGCAACGAAGCTGCGGTCATGGATGGGAAGGGAAGGCTGATCACCTTGCTGTACCTGCTTTCAACACACTGACTCCAATGGTCCGCCCTGCCGCTGTTCGTTGTTTTCATGGTCCTTCTTCATGCTACTGCCCCTCAAACCTTTTTCCTTCAGCCGCTTGCAGCCGCCGAGGGTTTTGCAGCACGCCACCGCAGTCACGTGACAAACTCTTTTGTTACATTTGCGGACTCTCCACCTTGCCGTTCCATCACCACTTTCCTGGAAATTGAGTTAACTGAAAACCAATGTCGAAGTGTGAGCCGCTCAGTCGTCCCACATGGGTGCTGGGTGTGATCCTCCGCAAGGAGGCGCTGTTTTCATATTGGAATTTGAGTTACTGACTCTTCTTCTCCACTGACTTACCTTCATCGATCTTTCTCTACCCTGAGTTCACTGCTCCTACAGCCGTCGGGCTAAAAAACGAATTTGCTAGCCGCCGGGCTTAAAAACGGTCTTTTCCCCCCACTTGAGGCAGGTCTCCCAACCCCCCCCCCCACCGCGTTCTACTCCCTACCTATTAGGGTAACATAGGGAAATGGTACTCGACACACTTGTGTGTCGGTGCCTTTCCCTCTGTTGTCCCTTTTCTAGTCTACTCTACCCGGGCGGTGTAAGACAAAAGTCCCGCTCCCTAACTAGTGCACCTAATTCACTTCGTCTAAGTATTCAGTAATCCTAGAGTGCTAGGTATTCAAACACACACACACACACACACGTACACACACATGGACATACACCCCCTCCCTGCCCCCCCCTTTTTCCTTCTTACGTTTTTCGTCGTTTGTTGGGCTTTTTCTCAGGCTTTTAGGTGGCTCTTGAGGCTCGTTTCCCTACCCCAGTCAAGGGCTAAGTATTCACTTTTCATTTTTCTACACCTATCTTTCTCTCTTGCCCTCTTAGCGCTGCTCTTTCTGTCTTTCTTTCTTTCTTTCGTTTCTAAGGCTTTTTAGGTATCTATTCAGGTTTCTCACACGAGCGCCGCCAAGCGGCACCGTGTGTGTGTGTGTGTGTGTCAACCCCTGTTTCGAAGGGTCTTTTCTGCCAACGGATCATCGCAGGGGCACACGGCATCCATGACCTACCGTGTGCAACGAAGCTGCGGTCATGGATGGGAAGGGAAGGCTGATCACCTTCCTGTACCTGCTTTCAACACACTGACTCCAATGGTCCGCCCTGCCGCTGTTCGTTGTTTTCATGGTCCTTCTTCATGCTACTGCCCCTCAAAGCTTTTTCCTTCAGCCACTTGCAGCCGCCGAGGGTTTTGCAGCACGCCACCGCAGTCACGTGACAAACTCTTTTGTTAAAACATCTACACATTTGCGGACTCTCCACCTTGCCGTTCCATCACCATTTTCCTGGAAAGTGAGTTAACTGAAAACCAATGTCGAAGTGTGATGCTGGACCATCTGCTGACACACTTAGATGTTGCGCTCCCCAAAATACCCACAATCAATCAATCTTCATTGAGACGGCTCGCAGACACTCACCAATACGCCAAGCGTTTTTGAACGGGAATGGCACGGCTCTCATGTTCATGCAGAACAGAAACTATTATCTGGCCGAATACTTGCATGCACCTTGAACATCTGTCTTAGTTGGGGAACTTTTGGTTCTTACCTTTGACGCCCAAACCTCCCTAACTTCCCAGCAATAGAACAATTTATTTTTAGTAAAATATTCCGTGGTCAAAAATCCCATTTCTTGGGAGATTCCGGCTCAAAGTTCTCGAAGATAAAGGGTGAAGGTCTTTTCATGTACCAAGTGAAAAAGTCGAACCGGTTCCATTCAAACCCATACCCAGAGTCGTGGAGAAAACAAAGAGGGCTTTCAGTTCACATAGAAAACAAAGAGGGCTTTCAGTTCACAACTGATTCTTCACCCAATCCATCAGGCGAGGAGACACGGCCGCCGGTGTTGGTCTTCCCAAACTCTTTTCTTGCACGAATTGGTTCCCTTCGCCCTAATTGAAAAAATTATGAGAAACGCTTGGGTCAGTGAGACGTTGCCCCTGGTGGGTCATCCAAAATCAGCAACTAAACATCAAACAAATAGGCATTCTGGATAAGCCTATGGTTTAGAGAGGGCAGAAGGCCCCTGAGTGTATGTATAGGCTAGAAATAGGAGTCTGAATACAAGAAGGATGGGACATACAATGTAATTCATATACAGTAGTATACTGACTATCCAAAGTTCGTTTCATGTTGGTCACTGACGCACGGTCAGTCCAGCCGGACTGCTGTCCATCTTTGGCATTCCATTTCATGGCCCTACAGCACTCTCGTATTTTGTCTTCTCACTTGCTCTGTAGTTTTTCTTGTCATATACACATTTAAAGATTCTCCAGCTCTCCTCTGCTTTCCTAGGAACAGGCAGTGCAAAGGAAGGCAAAGCACGCCAGTATCCAAAGAACATCCTCCCTAACTCAAATCTGCTCTGCCTTCCTCTGCACTTCTGGGTTCTGGATACTCAATGCACAAGAGACATCTGCATACCAGGCAACGGCATCATCAGTTTAAACACTAGTCCACCTCAAAATGTGCTTAGCGCATGGGGTCGCATTCACATCAGCAAAGGAACAAAAGCCAACTTTTGGGGGGGAACAAGCCGAGGCTATTGGACAAACTGTTGCAATGTGCCGCCGATGGACAGTTTGGGAGTCCACCAGTTTCCGTCGTGGGGGATTCTGGGAAGCAAATGACCGTGACAAGGCTGATTTGGAAACTATGACTGGACTCCCTTTTGCCTTAGCTGAGTACTTCACTCTGACTCTCGACTCTTAACCACCAAAGGACGTTGGATCTGCCGCTCTGCCACAATCAAGTCAGTTTCTCCATGAGAAGGGGCTGGCTTTCTGTCCAATGGAACATGTAAAATCTTTGGAAGCACCACTATAGACTACAAACAATATAAAATATCATGTAAATATGGTTTTATACTGTGGCATCACTTGTGGCATCATCTTCCTACCAAACATATTGGTCATTTTTCACTGAAGGCCTCTCTGAACGATGAATCAGCAGCCAAGAACTGCAAGTAAATCAAAATGTTGTCAGACCTCTTATACCGGGCATGGAGAGACCGATTCTCATCTGAAAGCGGCTGCGCAGGCACCTAAAACATCCTCTAAAACATGAGGCTCGTTGGTGAAACAGCCGGTGGGTCACGAGCAAGTCGAGTCACGAACGAACAAACGACGACCCAACGAGCTATTACATATGCAAGAATGTATAGCTACCCAACAGGTCACGGAGAACTCTTAGGGCCTAGCAACCCTCTTGAGGAGATATGTTGGAGGGTGCTGAGACACATGTATGTACGTACATGTATCTACCCAAATGACCATACAGTCCATACACATTCCTTTTCCAGTCAGGGACTTTATTTGTTTGTGTTATATGATTGTTTAATGTTTTTTTTGGGCAAATCTCCAATCGATGCGCATCCACCGCATTCTATGGCATTCGAAGGCTTTCTTCACTCATCCTTTCGACAAAACAAACTCATTGGTTGGCAACGCTCCCGGTTGCATCAGTTGCGCCTAACACCTTAACCACGTGATTGGGTCATACCACAGGCTATGCTAAATCCCTTAGTGCTTTTGGTATCTGATATCGCCAGCCATCGCACCAAAAAGAAGACGCATCGTTCTCGCTCGTTCGAAGCTGCCGCGCTTGCGTGGTGTTCCACCTGGTGCGGTTGGTTTGTTGTCTAGGAGCGGAGAGGTGCGATGTTGGTTTTGTCAGGCAGCATTTCTCAATGGCTTCTCCATGGCTTCTCATTGGTAGACATGAGATGACATGAGGCTGATGCTTTTCTTCAGCGGAGCTTTCATGAGCTTTCATGAATAGAAGACCAGTCGGGCTTTCCCCTCCAGAATGAAGAATCGACTATACTGATCATATTGTATACATGATCTGCTCTGACTCAGACCTTTTCATTCTCTGACCCTTCTGAAGCGAAAAGAGACTTCATCACCAGTCTTTCGATGTGATCTACCTTAATGTAGTCTCTTGATCAATAAACCCACCCAGTTGAATTTCAAACCCTTTTATATATGGAGGTCTTATGAATCAAGAGTCTGGTTCGGAAAGATTTGTTCATGCGCCGAGTGGAGACCCCTCCTCCGGTCACCGAGTGGCGTCGGAAACCCGACCCTTCCCAGCGAGCTGTGTGTAGAACACACACCTCCGATCGATGGCACTGTTGGGGCAACGAGTGGGCAGAGAAACACCACGAGTATGGAGAACACCACGAAGTACCAAGGATCCACACC